TCCGAACCCATTTGGATTTTGTGCATGGACCAAGCACGATTAAATAGGATTAGACATAAGTGTTGTTTTGTACACAAGTTTAAAAATCTTATGCTGCTTCATGCAAGTCATCATGAGGTTCTAATTGAAGAAACAATCTGGCCCGCCATCTTCGATTTGCACTTGTTAATAGGTGCGGCACAGGTTATAGTAATAATAATAGCAAGGCTATTATTTCTTCGAACTGAAAATAATAGATAAAGATTGGATTTAAATGCGAGAATTGTGAGTAAAATCAGTCATAATACATCTTCGGAAAAGAACCAATGAATATACTTGTTATTAAGGTAGTTTAGGGTGTCAAGCAGAAATAGGTAACACGCTTATAGTATAGATCGGTGTCACGCCGGACCGGACAGCTTTTTCGCATTGAATACTTGAAATGTACTATCCATAAGATTTTATTTATGTAGGGTTAATATTCATTTTTCTTTGTTTGTCAAAAATATATTTGCCATAACTCATAAACGCATCGATGTCGTAATTGATGTATCTATTTTATTACGTCGTTCTGTGATGATGACAATTGTGCTCTTTACATGATCGCACACGGACTAATTAACCGGCCCAAAGGACAGACAGCCCAGGGTCTTATTGATTAGACTGCGCACAAATAATGTATGTCCTGATTCCACTAAAGAATAGACGGACTTGACAGTGACATGGGAAAGCGACTGCCTCAGAGCTTTACTGCTGTCCTGATAGAGGCCCTTTGCAAAACCTATCAAGGTATTCTCACTGTTGCCGAGGATGAAGAGCAGTCGCAACACAGTCGCTCGCATAATAACACGTGTTATTTTGGTATTCTTTCCATGTAATCAAGTACAATCGATATTCAACCAAATAAACATTAATAAATAGAAGTGAAAAACAAACTGCGTAATATTAAAACGAGACATTTTTTTGCTTTTTTCGTAGGTTTTTAACCTACGAAAGCTTATTCTACATTACATTGCTACTCTACATATTGATAAAGGCACCGGAGATAATTTTCAAACCGCCAACGAGTATCTTATAGTACCGCCTCTTGCAGCGATAACAACCTTCACTCCTAGCGCCGCCATTTCTAATTGTTATGCATTAGATTTTTTTCCGGATCTGGATCACTTGTTATCGAGTCTCCGGGCGTTTTTCTGTCGGATCGACCTCTGATGAATTAGCAGGCCATGAAACCCATTGGCAGTGAGTGTTAACCTAGCCAAATACGCCAAACGCTGTCACATCCTCAATCCATCCTGCATTATCACCATCAGAACATTTTGCTTCCCAAAACACCACTACTTTAGTATTTCCTGTACGAACCGTATTATTCCAGTGATAGAAATCATGGGCCACATTACAACCTCTGATGTACCTCTTATTTTTAGCATGACCCAGCTTTCGGAAGATCGTTCGCCAGCATACCTGAAGGTATGATGGGCATTTTTTTTTTTCGAAAAATTTTCCTGTTCGGTTAGTTTGTTTAACGAAGACGGGCACCTAACCGAAGCTTCTTGGCGAGTCCACTGCCCTTGAATGCAGCCTCCTTGAGTCGCAACAACTTTTCGTCATGACAAGTCCGCAGTCTTTTAACCTGATCTGGAGGATATTATACGAATCGAATTTACCTCTTTGGAATTCGCAAATAATCACACCGTTGTCCCATCTCGAAGTGCACCATTTTTGATCCTTATTACCGATTTTACACGACGACAATGGGAGGTCCTGCTTCGGAGTGTAAACATGCACCACTTCAATAGTTTCTCGTTGCTCCGTCTTCCGATTTCCATATGCTACTCGAAGAAGTGAATCTCTATTTAATTTAAACACCGCTATCTTGTTGGTCAGCGCTGACTACAATTGTACTGGTTAGATGGTGAGATATTAGCCCGAAACGCGAATGCCGGCCTGGATGAAATTCAATTTGGGCAAACAATGACGACTACAAACATCGGAATACGATATGCCAATTTGATAGACGTATCGCATTGTTTGTCAGCAGCTTGAAAATGCTTGCCGATACCTTTATCAATATGCAGGCGTAAAGATGTATAGAGGCCACCCACTTCCATAAGCCATTTGACTGAATTTGAATTTATTCGATAAATAGAATTTATATTTAAATGATTCAATATATACAAAATAGCTTTCCTATAGTCGTATGTAAATGTAAGCCAGTGAATATAAAACTATTCACATGGTACGTCGGACGCGTACACGCTACAACAATTTCTATTGCGTAACAGTAGCTTTTGTGACGCAGGCGATAGGTACATCTGACTTTCTATATGTACTACAATGAAGCACAACGTATTTTATTTTTCCTATCCATGTTAATTATTAATTTAATTAATCCGCATTTATTATTGATGACAGCCTAAAATTAATATAAAAGAGAAACATTTCTCTGCTGTGAAATGCTTAGCAAGAATAATGTACACGGTGGGTTAACCTTTCTTCCACGGGCCACTAGGGTCGGAAGTCCTCGAACTGACCTGAGAGAAGCATAGCTCTGGGACTTTCATCAGACCTGCAGAAAGCTGCCCTAGCCTACAACTATCCGGCTGTTCGACACTGGTAACGCGACCCATAAAGTACGATGTCTGCGGTGGGGAAGGCATGAAACATGCTGTTTTATTCCTTCCATTACTGCTTCCGCGTGATAGACGACCGGACAAGTGAATTGAGCTTAAATCTGTTCTTCGGCGGTCTACAGTGTGGTACTCCACCCCCTTTGGCGATTCGTGCTGCCTCGACTGATGTTATACTGCCAATTTAGGAATCGTTACATGGCGGAACGATGGCGACCTGTGCGGCGGCATGGACGGGAGGATTTCTATAATGTCCTACAACAATTCGCAGAAATCGTTGAAGGCTGTTGGAAATTATTATTAGACGAAAAGGGGAAAGCCCAGGAATAAGCACGCTATCGACAATCGACACATTCGCTTTATTCACTGTCTGACCCTACATTGATGCTACCTATTCCCTATGACGGCATCACCTCTCGCGTCCAATCCCGTCTCAAGGCCCCAATATTCTTTTTTTTTATGTTTTGTATTTGTCTTGCCCCTAACGGTCGCTCGTCTTCTTTTACTTCGTTCTGTTCGAACGCGGGGCTTATTCTCTCTCCCGCTCTTAATTTATCTCTGAGAGAGTAGGTAAACGGCGATAGGACTATTCCATGCACACCATTACACTTCGTTATCATTACGCATTTTGCCCACCCGTCTACCAGGCCATCCTTTACATCAGTAGCCTTTAAAGCCGTTGTAGCAGTCGTATGTGGTGCTACTAGCAACAGCAGTGGCCTTGAGTAAGGCAGCAGTAAGCTGCTATACCATCAAAGTTCCCGTCGCGTGCTGCTGCTTTGGGAATGGTTGTAAAAGGCGGAGCAGCAAACGAGGGAAATGGCCATTTCTTGTTTGCTTCCCCTTAGCGCCTCATCGCCGCCGCTGGTTGTTCTCTACCTCTCCGTATTCTACTCTTTTCCCCTTGTTCTCCATTTGCGTCTTCCCACATCAGCAGGCGCGGTGACTGTCAACCGCTCAGTACGGCTACAGACTAAGTGCAACAGTGGGCTATAATTGGCGTTATCTCTCATGGCAGTGCTCCCATGGCAACACGTGGATAAGGGGGCAGTTCGACGCCGAACAGGGGCGAAGAGAGTTAGAAGGAACGAGGGCGAAAAGGAGGAAGAGGGAGTACAGTGGGAGGAGATTGAAACAACCGTAGTAGTTACAGTGGTAACGGCCGCCACAAGAGTGGGGTAGCTTACTGCTTATATAAGTGTTCGTAAGTACGAGAGAAGAGGTGAAAAGGCAAGAACGACAAATAAAAACCAGCGGAATAGGACATCCCATAGGGCGGAAAAAAACATGAGAAGAGTGGGAAGAAGCGTTGAAGCCGCTTCATCAGAAAAGCAAAACGGTCACATACATTAACTAGAATTTCGAATTGCCACGTAACTATGAACGGGAACACTGGCAAAGGCCTAGCGAAGCAAAGAAGCGCACAGAACCGACAACTTAAATGAGGTCCAGACGTGACTTTCCTTTCTTTAGCATGTTTCACCTTTCACCGTAATTCGCTATGAATATTAGGAGAAGCATTTGTTTGTGCGCGGAAACTTCCCATACACACGGTGCGCATCTAAATCGAGATTTTTTTTCTTTGTTTTCAAGACTGGATCTAAACATAAACAAGTAATTTAACAACTTTTTTTTCGATCCGCTAGGAGTGCCATTTTTTATTGTCAGGCTTATACAATATAGCCTTCATCCACTGCAATTACAACTTCAATTCGGGGCCCAAAGCATTTACCAGTCATTCTCAAAATATTTCTCCTTTAACCCGCAAAGATAGTAACCGTGTAGCGAACGATATACACTCTATTTAATTTTTAATTTAAACAAAAATAAAAAAACTCACAAAAAAAATGTTCGGAATTAAATTTTGGGCCTAATAGCAGATAAAGAATGTGACCGTTCACTATAAATAAAAATTCTAAAATCTACAAAAGAGAAATGAATTTGAAGTAGGTCAAGTTCTTTAAAACGGCTGTCGGTAGGAAGTGTTTTTTTAAACTTTTTTTTTTTAATTAATTTATAACCCCTTCTATATCTAGCCTTTATTCCGGAAGCGTGCCGGAAACCCTCGCCACACTTTTCAACAGCCTCATGGAGATCGAAAAAATCGTCGACTGTCGATTTCGGGCAAAAAAAAATAAGGTTTTAATGTTGGTAAGGTTCATTTAATGTCAAGAAATCAACCAATAACTGATCTGTGAAAAACAACGCACTGTTGTTCGTCATAACAGGTTTGTAGATTCGTTCTAAAAATAATGCGTTTATGTCTGGCATTTGGAGTAACGTACGGCTGTTAGGACAAACATCCCGCCAACGATTTTATGTGCATCACATTATATATATATATGTATGTATGTTTGTGTGTGTGTGTGTGTGTGTATGTGTGTGTGTGTGTGTAGGTAACGAACACGTGCAGTGCTTCTCGACAATTTGCTACAATGGATTATAAGTGTAATTACAAGGCAATATAAAAGTTATGAACAATTAGATAATTTGACTACATTTTGGGAGTCAAACGCCAAGAATCAGACACGTACCTGGGAGTTTATGTTGATTTAGGAATAGCAAAAGAAAGAACTTGAACGTTGGCATATTTAAGAAATAACCGATTCAAATTTAAATTTTAGGTGAAAAATAATTTGAGACCGCGACCCTATTCCTTATCGTGCATTAGCATGCGTTGTCTAAATGCAAATCCTAGATGATGTACCTAGTCAAATGCCAGGTTGCCAACCGAAGGAAGTGGTGCGTCTAAAATTATATGTCATCAAGTTCGTTTGCAGCACCAGATGATGGGTTCCGCCGGAAAGCGTCAGGCGTGATGGCGACAGTGTTACAACGCCAAAACCACTATCGGTACGAAGCTATATGACAAGGCACTATTAATTTAAATCCCGGGGAAAAAAGTCGTCGTATCAATCTATGTCGTTTAATTTGTTTCGAAATTGTTCAATAGACTCGCTGTTATTGGAAAATATGTTTTAGCTATTGTCACACGTATATGGCAATCGGGTCGTTTCTTCAATGTCATTGCACCGCGCCTCTCCATATCCAATAAATCCATTCAGCAGTGTTGTAATTACTTTTCATTATAACTACTGGGTTGTTACGTTTACGCATCATACAACCCAATCTGTCAATATCATAATACGTTAAATGAATTAGTTTAGATTTTGTCACAAGTCTACTATACTGTGACGTTTTTTTCGGTATCAGAGTTTGCACTGCTGTACACAATGTAGCAAGCAATCTTCAGCGACTTCCGACATTAACAGAAAGCGGAGCGAATTCAACTGGGCTCTACGGAGCTGACGCTTTGTGTGACGCAGGTAAGCGCTCACGTCACGAACTGTTCACGATTGACTTTTTTATTATTTTAGTTAAAAGCTGTCAGTGCTGCAACGCATGCGTGAAATTGGTGGCCTTGGTAGCAGTATTTCAGAGAGATTTTCCAGTACAGAACATATATTAACCAAATACGCAATTTGCCTAATTTGCCTGAAGTTTTTGTTCGGTCTAGCCTGAATTTGTATCATTCGACGCCAGCCCCCTAACAAAAGTTTCACTTTTGTTGTGGACATGTGTAGCTCATTATTAACGTTTCCTAACGCTATATTAGCTAATCTATCATCCTGGTAGATTTTTGATGTTATCAGACAGCGTATTCTAGTGATTATTGTTGAGACTGAGCGGCTAAACGTTTTCGCGTATACCTTCAAACGTGAACATACAGAGCAGGCTGATAGCTGTCGACAACATTGATGTATGGAAAATCGAAAGCTTTTCTTGAAATGTTTCATATACCTTTCGCGAGCCTCCTTCTATAGAAGATGTAACATATCCGCCATGTACGAGCTATACCGCATGTAAAACTCGTGCCAGCCACGTGCGTCCCTTACAAGTTAAGATAAACTTACGCATTCATAATCGAATGCAAATACACTGCTCTGCTGCCCCTCCACAGCTAATTGCCAAGTTACAATTATGCTTGTCGCACAATTGAAACTAACGGCAGAACATTTAGTGCGTGTTCCCGCTGTCGATCAGTGTAACTACTCTTACCTCTGAAGTTGTTAATACGATAACGAGTGCATACTACTAGTCCTACGCTTGCTTGCTGTTGCAATGCATCAGTGAACAGAACGAGGTAGAGTCGGGCAATGGGGAGACAGAGGGGCCTTTATTGGTAAGTGCGTTTCGTTTAGCTAGACCGCGCCTGTTGTACTGCTGCCGCCTTCCGTTCGCCCGCCAGCTGTCACCACGATATCGGCTGCGGCTGAACTACAGCTGTAGAGGCGAGGGGGCAAGGAAACAACCGAAACGGAAAAATTCTGCCATCATCAGCGAGCGCTGAGACGGCGACAACTAGCGCAGGCACTAACGGCCGCGTGTTTCTTTTCTTCAACCCCGTATTCCGTACGGGACCTCTTCTCTATGCGGCTCTCTGCTTGCGCGACTTCACTAGTTGTCCTTAGCCTTCTTCCAGGGCACCACCACCGGCCTCCAATATGCATTCGCACCTTGAAGCAATATATAGACGCAACGACGCGCAGAGCTACGTCGGGGAACAGTTTCGTTGTTGTCGCTTCTGCTGCTGCAACTGCATGCGTTCCTATATTTCATCTAGCTCTGCTGAAATAGAAATCAAAGGCTTGTCGAAGAGATACCTGAGGACGGGGCATCCTGTTCATTCAAATGTTACCGGAGTATCTGTGGTGTTGTTATGCCTGTTATTGTTAACGACAATTGGAACTTTGAAAAACTTCTGCAACGTGGACAACGTGTAGTTTACCGTATTACTAGTCAATACTGTTACCATGACGCCAAACTGACGCGATGGAATGTATGACCGTTTGTTTGATGCGTTAATTTACTATAATCGTTTCCAAGAAAAATGTATCCGTATGAATTTCACGCAGTCTACCATTGCCACAAGTACGGACTAGGAATTTTTTTTTAAACAATAATTTATTAATTGTTAGTGGTCTGGTCTTGATTACGTTAATTGGCTTGCCAAAGAATTAACACTCGAGACTACAAAAAGAAAATGCGGCGTGTTTAGGCTTTTCCATAAGAAGCTCTATATTGTGCTATGCAAACATGTAAACTCGAGCTTTATATGGTATACGACAGGCAGCATTAATATCTTGCCACAGACAAAGGCGCTTCGAGGCAGGAGCTGCTTGCATATATATATATATATGTAAGAATGCATTTTACGTGTTACTGCAGGACTCGTCCTTGTGAGTATGTCTAAATGTATGTAAACAGTGTCAACTGTCGGTCCGTCTAGGCCTTCCGCGCAGTTTGTGGCGTGGTTGTCCAGTGGACTAATTTGTTTGTCTAAGCTTGTAACAGCCCAATTGGAGTGTTGGTCGGTCGTAGCCTTTGATTGCCACTGCTGTTACAACGACGGCGACTACTACCCAAGGATTGGGATTTTAGGGAAGCAGCCTAAAGGTAGCCCGCAGGTAGCAGTTTCGGTGGCGCTCTACTGCAAAAGCCCTACCGTCCCTCCTACCAGCAGGAAATGGTTGAGCATCTAAGGTTCGTAGCGGTACCGTACTCGTGTGTTCGTTCAGTGTATTAACGAAACCCGTTGCCGCGGTCGTAGGATCGGTGGAAGCGGAACGGGGGCGTGGTGATTGAAAAAAGGGATCTCGGGGGCGGCAGGGTGGAGCAGAGAGTCATTAGCGTAGACCCTCCCGGGTTTCCAGAACGAGAAAACCCGATGGCGGTGGTGAAGGCGCGGCTCCACCAACGCGATGGTCGGTGAATTGCTTTGGCTTGGCCCAGCTTGACTCAGTCTGAGTCTGAGTCGGCTGACTAGCTTGACTGCTTAAGGCCTAAAATGTGACTGGCCTACACGGCCTCCCGACTGCCGTCGATGACGAAAGCGGGAAGCACTCGCCCGATGAAGCATAGACAAACAGGGGCATACGGCTCTGCTCCGACCGCTCTGGGTTGAGCCGGCTGGCTCAAGCGGCAGGGCATCTAAAGATGTACACACCACGAGGGAAAGACAACACAGAAATTGGGTTCTAAAAGGGACTGGCTGAGACCGAGGTCCAAGAATACTGGCAGATTGCTGCAGCAATGCTTCGGTGCAATAGATAGGATGTGAAAGAAATAGAGCAGAGGGGCGATTAGGCCACACGGCGAAGAATGGTGTTTTTAGTGGGGGACTGAAGCAAATGTTAAGCAAGCCATTATACTTCAAGGAACATAGTAATTCGTAGAGGACTGCGTAAAATGGCAGTAGAGGCCCTTAGCAAGGCCTACTAACAGAAACATCGTCTAAACAACATTAAAAGTCATTATTCGTATAATCGTTATCAAGTACGGTAAATGCTTTTTAGAGGGATCTAAAACTATAAAAACTATTTTTTAGCAAAACCTTTCCTTTAAGAATGGTCTTTGACAGAAATATCTAACCAGCTATTACTATATGAGCATAAACTTCGATGAACTTCACATTGAACATTGTGTTTTACGATAAGCACTAAACGGAGCTATTGTACCGGTGCCGTTACCCAAAATAGCGTATAACAACACCGATTCGCTTAAGGTGGATATCATTAAAACAGGATTTTAGCTGGATGACGTAAGAAGGATCGAAACATACTGGTTCGAATTCGGTAGGGCATGTAGTTGCCCTTCTATTGGGTCCTTCAAGTTATTGCGGCGGTAGTGATAATAATGATAATGGCATCTTACTACGCACATTATTATTATTTAAAACCAGCTTACAATAGGTATGAAAAGCACAATAGCTTTTATATGGGAATGCTGTTACAAATTCTGCCAAACACCGGAACCGTTACCTAGTTGAAACTGTTGACTGCCAGCAGCCGTATAAAGGTTAACAAGTCACATCGGTACCTGGAGATGAAGTGACGTTTACGACCTCGTCACGTCATACGTTCATGCGTTCTGTGACCTTTCTCAATCTCATATGCCGTGCTGGTTGGAATGAGATCATAGCGTGTGTTATATGCCATTGATAGCGAAGGCATGTTTTGTTACTTTACAGGTTCAGTTGAAAAATGCTCACCACAGTAGTCCGTCACGTCGTTCCAATCAGTATGTGTTTTTTTTATAAATATTTCTTTTTTGTTTCATTTCAGGGAAATGCGACATTGCAGGGCCTTGGATGTCACCTCAACCGTCATCGCAACATCGTTGCCGATGTAACCGTAACAGCTGCGTCAGCAATAGTACAAACTCGCGTTCAAACACAAGAGTCAAGCCTTTGCAACTATTATACCGTTTCTGTCTTCATCGAAGCCCGCCCAGCGTACGTTGACAAAGAGAGGAGGTCACCAGCCAGACCGCCGCATTGCCTCTGTAACAGCTGGAGCCAGTAACCAGCAACAACATTCAAGTTATTCGGCAATTGTAAGTAACACCGACGGTGCAAGGCTAAAGAGACAAGCCATTGTTATTGTACAAGTATCGCCATCAAAACAGCGGCGGTACGTCTTGGTCGCCAAAACCATCGCCAAGAGGAACAGATATCATCGCCACACCACGCATGCAAATCCTAGCAGAACACGACTATCGTGCTACAGCGGAGGTCAGGAGGGCTGTATCGCTATTAAAGGTTGCAGCTGTTGTAGAAATCTAAGCTCCCGCCCACAGGGACTGGAATCGAGCGGTCGTTGTTGTCATTATCGGTATATTGGTGGGTGTGATTGCTCCAACAGAGGCCTACGGAAGGACTGCTTCGGCTAACGGCGTGGGCCTTCCGCCGTTTCCGGTCGAGGCCGTCGCTACCGCCAAGATGCGCCGGAACCCCCGGCGCGTACTCAAACTCGCGGTGGGGGCCGTATCGCTAATACTGCTAACGGCCTTCATCACGAAAGGCATCGATAATGAGCAAGGAGGACCATACGTCATCCAGGTCAATGCTGCTGGTGACAACTTTGCCTACAGGCAACAGCAGCAGGAGGCCAATAATGTTAACACGGTAATTAGCTCTTAGTGTTATATTAGTAGCCAATAAGCGATATGAAAAAGCTTGAAGCAGTACTGAACGACAATGCTGGACAGTAAAGCTTAAAATGTTTATTTTAGTTGTAAATCTTGCCCACCATGTTACACCTGCACAGATATAATACGGAAAACTTTATATCGAGTATTGAAAACATCATCCATTCCTTCTGTTGATTGATGGATTGCTTTGTAAGCCGTATTCTTGCTCTCCGTGAAACCCGCGCACCCTTCTTCTTTTTCTTTTTTTTACTCTGTCGTTTTATTGGACGGAACATTTGGTATAGTTGTGTGATAAACTCGCTTTTCCTTGTGGTCGCTTACCATCTCTTTCCGCTTATGCTAGCGGTTACTATTGTCCCGGTATAGTTGTTTGTCTGCCTTTCTTAAATGTACACGAAGAACTATGCAGAGGTTGTCCTAATCGCTTCGGTTCGGATCTAATTAATAAAAAAAAAAAACGAGACGACACTGGTTTTCTGACGTTGTTTAAGATTCGTCCCCACCATTGATTATAATCAGAAATAGCAAAATGACTAAAGTAAATTTTCCCATGAGCTGTTGCCTGTGTTTGGTGCACAATTCCGGACGGAGTGAAATCACTCTTATTATTATAAGCATCAGTGTCACCGCGTCCGCTGTGTTCGCGCAACTGAATAGAACCTGCGCCCTTTTCCTGCTATAGCGAAGATCCCTACTGTTAGCACCACGGGCGCCCTCACTTCAGTAGACTCTCGTTAGCAGCGAGCTATGCCAGAGAGCGCTTCCTTGTAATGTGCTGCTACCTTTGGCGTTTGTATGCATTATGTACAAGTATGCGTCCATGTGTTAGAAGCCCCTGGTAGAAGGAGCGAGCCCGACGAAAAGGCAACACATAGTGCACAACAACAGATCCAAGAGTGTTTGTTGTTGCACACCCATTATCTCCTCTTGTCCGTCGTCCCTTTCCACCTGTGCTTGTCTGTTCTTCCGTCTTTTGGCATGTTTATGTGCATCCTTCCTGCCTTTGTGCCTACGCATGAATCCTTTTTCTTTTCTTCTACCGATGTCTTCTTCTCCTTATCGTTTTTCCGATTCAAGTGCGTGTGTGTGTGTGTGTGTATGTTTGTCAGATTTGTTATTTATAGCTATTCTGCGAACAGTGGCGGTGGCGCTGGTGGTTGGCAAGCATGCTGCTTCTACGACTACAGCTGGAAATGACATCTGTTGTGACTGCATATTATTTTGACAGACCACAGAGCGCCGCCAGGTGCTGACTGATCGGGGTAGGTTAGGATCCGCTGATAGCGCAAACAGCCGCGTACACCTATCCCCAGATTGTCGCTATATTTTACTTGGCTCGCCTTATTTGCCCTAAAAGTCGACGCTGACCATGTACATTTGTATTTGCATTTGCATCCTGTTTAGGGGTTTTGCTCTGTATTCGTCTACTAGCAATGTGATCGGAAAAATTTGTGCATGTTCTTCGATGGTCAAGCCTGTAATTAAACAGCCAAAATACTGCTATCTGTATAAATTGATGGAGTTGGAGTAAATCGAACCTATCGTAATCGAAATTACGTAACTTATGAATTATTAGGGACATGATAAAGATACGACACAAGACCTCCCTCGTGGTTTTTTTAAACTAGACAAGGGTACGATTGAACAACAGCCTTTCCAGCCATCGCTCCCGACAAGAATAGCTATTAGGACTCATTTGAAACACATCGTACGAAAGCAACGCTGAACGTAAACTATTTAGTCCGAATTAGACATGTTACTTATTTCGTCGTTTGAATTCTAGCTTGACTTCGATTTCTCCAAGTATTAATTTCAGGACACATACGTAAACGCCATTTTTGAGTGTTTTTGTGTTACAGTATAACGATCCGCTACGTCGTACGCAAACATATATAAGCAAGTCTATTTATGTGTCTTATTTGAAAAAGTAGGGCGACAAACATTTTTCATAATTTACCCATATACACATATTTCAGGGAGTTCCATTGCCAGTTGCACTGCAGTCTAATAAGGGGCCACTACAGGTGGATGCTAACGGACGTGCCGATTGGCACGATTACGCACAAGCAATCACCGATGGGGCCGCACGTGGTCCAGGAGAACAGGGTTTGGCCGTCGAGCTTCCGAAAGATTTGGAAACGGAGAAGCGCAAAGAACGCCTTTACAAGGTACGATTTAAAATGAACTTGGCAAGATCTATTGTTATGCAGCCACTTCAAATAGCATTAGATTTCAATACAATAACATTGGACACATACAGAGACTGCCTTGATCATCTCTAGACAGAGTAATAGCTCAGTGTCATTATATGGTACAAAACAGAAAGTGATCGACCTCTGAGTGAGAATTTTTGCAGACCTGTACTTGCGTTATCCTGAAAGTTCTTGATGATAAATTCGACATAAGTAACACTCATTGACGGCAAGCCGTAATAAATATAACGCATGTATTTGCTGTTTTCAATTCGTGAAGTGACCCCATTGCTGTCTTGTTTGTTTCAAAGATGAATGGCTTCAATGCGGCGGTATCGGATCTCATCAAACTGAATAGGAGTGTGCCGGATATCCGACATCCTGAGTAAGGATCATTTACTTAGCCTGATTCGTACTGCGTTAATAGTTCATCTTTGATGTATGCTTATCTATCTCACATTCGACGTCCTGTACCATCTTTGAATCGGGCCTTCCGCCGCGCCTCGACTGTGCTTGCAATCATTTTCGACAGAAGGGCAATCGTCTTAAACATTTTCTGTTTCCATTTTTTAGTCACTTTCCTTTTCTCGCTACAGAAAATTGTTTCGGCACGAAGAGCACTCACTTGGCAACGTTGTTAGGATAGAACCAGTAACTTAAGCTGTTGATCCTCAGGGCGTACAATAGTACCGGGTGAATTAAGAAGGGTATCATAATACCATCGAGGGGCGGAGCGCTAGAAAAATCACGGGAAATATTGGGGGATAGGGATGAGGTGGTTGTCCGACCTGTTGTTGTGACGTAGCCCAACAAACAGTCAAACGGGCATATGTCAGATACGTAGTAGAAATGATGATGCTAGCATTGATAGCAGTTGTTTTCATGGTGAGGTGCCGTGAAGGTCGCCGCTTACGTGTGTGCTCTTGCTAATTTGTTTCTTTTTGTGATCTCTTGAATACTTCTTCATGCGAATCGTGCGGCTCGGTACGGCAACGAATGCAATTACAGCTGCGCAAAAAAACGCTATCTAGTTCAGCTTCCTACAGTAAGCATTGTAATACCGTTTCATAACGAACATCCATCTACTCTGCTACGAACGGTGACCAGTGTAGTAAACCGTTCGCCGCGTCACCTGATAAAGGAAGTCATCCTCGTCGACGACTTCAGCAATAAACCTGAACTAGGTAAGTGATAAACCATGGCCAAGATATGTAAGGATTCATCATGATAACGAAAACGAATGAAAAAAAAAAAATAAATGATAGGGATAGCGTTCGTTTCAAATTTATGGCTAAAAAAAAACAGAACAGGTTAGTTTTGAATTTCTTTTCTTCAGTTTTCATACGGATATTATGAAAATAATTATTTTTGCCTCCTTCTACAAGGTAAAACATGAATCTAAAGTAAATCATTTATAGTCCAAGTAGACCTTTATAAATTGTCCAGTATCGTGTATCCTGCAGTTAAGAGGATCGACATGAGGCCTGCCTGAACGGAACGGGACCGCGGCAACGGAAGTCAGGCTTAAAGCTGTAACCTCGAAACCAGAAATTTAGAAAAATGTTTCTGTTCTAAAATTTTTTAGCGCACACACATACTTTGTCTCGTGGTCGTAGTAGTAGTAGTACGAAGCTTTAATAAGGGAGTATTGACGTACTGTCCTTCACCCGACATGTCGGTTCACCGTGTCCGTTTACTGATTGGCAACACTTTTTCTAAATCTTACCTGTATTTGGGCGTCCTACTGCGCATCGAAATGCAGTGGTCGCTTCTGGCTGACCAGTCGACCAATCATCACCCGACCCGATTGACTGATTGATTCTTAGTCAGCGGCTGCAATATACTACAGAAACTGCAGAAAAGGGACGTTTGGCTCTCTTGGACCTGAACGTTTTCTTTACAGCTTACGTGGCAAGCCCTGTCGACGTCACTGTCGACATAAACGCCGCTGCCATCGCCGTGGGACGCCTCGAATCGACCAGTGGGCAGTACTTGCGTGGAGCGGAAGGCTGCCGGCAGCGGCACAGCCTACGCGAGTCTATCCTTACGGTCAGTACAGACCACGTGCGTGGCCGAGCCTACGATTGTAGGAAGGCAGTTGAGGGGACGAAAGTTCGCTGGTAGAGGAGCATCTACACGCAAGCGTTGGGCGAAAAGCTGGTTCAGGTTAGGGGCAGAAAGGTCTAGGTTACTGGCGCGGTTCAGCTGCTGAGCAAGTAAGGTAGAAGAGCAGTGGCGGTAGTCAGTGTGTTCGGAAGGAAGCTAATGCAGCGTCCGACTTTTTTTGCTCTGTTTTGACAATGGAAGGGATAGATTACTGCTATGTTTGCAGAGTGTAGGAGTTTAAGCAGACGCAGAGAAGAGGGGTTTTGTGGTTGGATTGTCCATAGACATTTGTGAATTGTTGATTTATTGTGTACTCTAGAAGTGTTCCTTTTCGTATCTCGAAGATCTAGCGGTATCAACACTGCGTAGAAGACTCTGCTAGGCCAAAAAGAGGCCGTATGCAGATGCAGCAAGAACCTGCAGAGCAAGAACACGCAAAGGAATATGCTGCTGCATATGTGTCCCCAAATAACCATTGTGGATATTGCCGTGCAGCTTACCATTTTCCACAGATTGTAGCATATGGAGGGTATGCAGAAGGGGCAGATTTGATCAATAGTGAAGTTGCTAATATATCTACCATATATTCTTTTACTGTATTTCCATTTATATTTCAAATAGTCTGCGATTTCGTATTGTGATTGATAAGATTTGTTAAAGGAGTTTCAAATATGGCTTTTAATGGAGTTAACATTTCAGCGGGTATTATTATTTTGGAAAAACCGTCACGGAGGTTAAAGCTGTCATCGTTGGCTATCATTATCGAGTTCGTGCGTTAGAAGGATATTTCAGTCACGATACTTGAGTTGCGTGACGGCATATAGAAAATTCATTCAGCATTCCTATCTCACAATTCACAAGAATTAAAACTAACAGAAATTTAGTTCAGCTATACTCGTTAACTGTAAACCTCTACCTGCGCACCACGAGGATGAGCTTCTATTTTGTCTACATTGAAGTAGTTTTCTTGGTAAGTACATAGCATTATTTATCTCTCCCTATGAAATTTCAGGCCGTGAGTTGGACGATACGGTTGGTACCCGATTCGGAAGGTTAGTGCGTATTTTGCGTGCTAGCAGACGTGAAGGTCTCATTCGGGCGCGTTTGATGGGCGCACGTACCGCTGTCGGCGAAGTACTAATTTTCCTAGATTCGCACACAGAGGCTAATGTTAACTGGCTACCACCGCTACTTGGTTAGTATATTATTTAATCTATTACTGTTATTCATGTTATTTCTATACGCTATGATAAATATTTTTCCGGTCGTCCGATTGATTTTGTTGTAAATTCATAGAAACATACTTATTATGGGGCCGTTACAAGTTTGAAATTAGATAGTATTTGAACTACGCGCCGTTAGTAGTTGAAATTTGACTGACAAATAACTTACGTTAGGAAGACTCCAGGAAAAATGAGCTCAGAGGCAAAAAAACATTTTTCGGTCTTAAAAACCAACTGTCAGTAGCAAAATTTATTGTTTCTCGAGGGCCATAGTGCTGAGGAAGTTCATCGAAGATCTGTGGAGACATTAGGCAAGGAGATTCTAAGCGAAAGTATTGTGTGTAAATGGTGCATACGTTTCAAAAAAAGGCTGAAAATTAGCGAAGGGACGGCCGAATGTAGGGACCGGGTGTACAAGAACGCATTGCAGCAATGGAGAAAGCTTTTCACGAAATTAAGTTGGAAGTCCAAAAGCTCAATAGGCTAAAACTAATATTTCACATATAATGTGCTACAGATATATAATCGAAATACTAAGAATACGGAGACATGGTAAAAAAAGAGTCTCCCGTATATTAACTCCAGGTCAGTTAAAATGGGTAAGATATGTTCCATGTCCGGTTTGCGGAACTTTAATTAGTAAAAATCCGTCTGCAGCATACAGTGGCCATAAACAAGGTTGTCCAGAAAAAAGCAGGCGGAAAAATGGGGGAGAGAATTCAAGTCTGGCTCGGACGTACGATGATGTTGATACTTGCAAGGGATATCAGCGCCATTTGCTATTATGAGATGCTATCCATAAATGAGACAACGAATGCAACCTACAATCTCAAGAGACTAATGAACCGTCGACACGGCTACTGACAGTCTAATTGCTTGACGACAATGCACGATTTTATCGCCATGCCTCAACTACTTTTTAAATTGAGGAGAAGAATATACAACGTTGCCTTCAACCCACTTCAGTTTGTGTGATTACGGGGCTTTCTATGACCTAACAAGGGGCAACCGGAGGGCATGGATAGCGCATTATCAATTTACTTCGAGCAGCCATAGTTAGAGGACTTACGTGTGGGAACGCGGATGGTAGATATACGGCTGTCCAGAGCGCTGAGATACGTATGTAAAAAATAAAGGAAGACATTAAAAATCATAATTTTTGTTCGAAAGTTGTCCAGTTTTAAAGGCTGCTGGATTCGCCTAATGTTACACACTTATATGTATGCTTGTACTATATTCGTATTCATTCCGCTTTTTTAGAGCCGATTGCGGAAAATCGACGAACAGTCGTTTGCCCCTTCATAGATGTCGTCGACTACGAGACGTTCGCGTATCGAGCCCAGGATGAAGGCGCTCGTGGAGCCTTCGACTGGGAGCTGTACTATAAGCGTCTTCCGCTACTTCCATCAGATCGGGAACGTCCGACGGAGCCGTTTGAGAGTCCTGTCATGGCCGGGGGCCTATTTGCCATAAACAGGGAATACTTTTGGGAACTTGGTATGTACTTGTGTAATAATAATGTTATTGACAATCGTATAATATTGAAAAACCTCATATCCGACTGTACAGCAATGTGCTTGGACGGGCTGCATGTCGATTGCTGTGGGACACTATTGGCGGGCGCAGTGACGTAGTCTACTACTGACGCCATTGCAGACGAAGCAATGCGGTTGCCGGCGCGAACAAATCTCAAGGGAACATAGCAATAAGCAGGTAGCGTTCTATTCGAAGATTAGCAGGTGCTGGCCATAGTACGACTACCAAGTGCCAGCCGTATTTAATAGCCGATCTCATCTTGACAATTGAAAAAGATCTCTCCCAAGCTGTTCTGGAGTTTTGCGATTCGAAATCCATGTTGATTAGAGAGAGTGGTGGTTCAAGTTACGTGCATAAAGTCAAAGATCACAAAACAGAAAATAAAAGATAAGCTAGCAAAGGCAGGTGTTAGTGTGACTGTTACGGTTTATTACCGTAACATATTAACGAATTCGCCTCAAACGCAACATGTATATGCTGAACAGTAAAAATGGTTACCGTTGGCATTTAGGATTTATGATCCTTGTCGCTCTAGGTGCCTTTATTAATGCTTATTTTCGCATGTTACAGGTGGGTACGATGAGGGTCTGGATGTTTGGGGTGGAGAGCAGTATGAGCTATCTTTCAAGATTTGGCAATGTGGTGGACGGATGTTGGATGCACCTTGCTCGCGGGTGGGGCACATCTATCGAAAATTTGCCCCGTTTCCTAATCCTGGTATTGGAGACTTTGTTGGAAGGGTAAGTGTAAATAGATGTCATAAGTGAGCTATAATCGTAAACGTGTATCTTGAACTTTGCTGGACGGGTTCCTGTCCCAGCCTCAGTGTTTGGGTACAATTTATGGTGTTTATCTGTGAAACTATGAAAACTGTCGTGTGTAGTGATAGATCGTAACGCATGGGAGTCATTTCACTACAGATGAAGCTAACCAATGAATGTATTTCATTTTCCACATAGAACGTGCAGTTTTGCTGTGAGCTTTTTCCGGAAAAAAAGCTTGCTGCTACAGGTAGGTAGTGTGCATTTCCTATTAATGTGAGCGGCACATAACATGCGAGCCTTAATTGTGGATGTAGCTTTTTGATGCTTTGCCCTTTTCTTCCGATAGAATTATCGCCGTGTGGCTGAAGTATGGATGGACGAGTACAAGGAATACCTTTATCAAAGACGTCCCCATTATCGTAACCTCGAGTACGGGAGTATAGCCAAGCAGAAAGCCTTGCGGGAACGGCTCAACTGCAAACCGTTTAAATGGTTCATGGAAAAGATCGCGTTTGATCAGCCTCTCAAATACCCGCCCGTTGAACCTCCCGACTTTGCATGGGGCTCAGTACGTAATGTGGCAGCGGACCAGTGCCTCGATAGCAAGTTTCATGGACAAGGCAAGTTCGGCTTGGATGAATGTCTCAGCTCGAAGGGAGGTAGCTCAGGGGAACAGAATTTCGTGCTTACCTGGCATCAAGATCTACGACCAGCTAAACGTAGCGTTTGCCTGGATGTGTCCTCAGGGGAGAAGCGTACGCCCGTCGTCCTTTGGCCCTGCCACGGAATGCAGGGCAATCAGCTGTTCAAATACAATTTAGTAAGTATGAGGGTGTAAAGAGTAACTCTAGGTATTTGCCACAACATAGCCATTGATTTAAAAGCTTGTCGAGAATGTACGATCTTTGATTTCCTTCTTCAAAGAGAATTGGCGCGTGTTTGTACGCTTAGATTTATAGTCACTGAAGTTCGATACTAGTATTCAGCAATATGTGAGTGCACTTATGGCGAAATTAAGATAACTCATCAGTATGAGCATTAGATAATTTTTCATTGCCGATGTCTTTCGGAGACAAAAACACCGTTATGCGTCGGCGCGAGCTCTGAGAGACAGGACAATTCGTTGAAGAAACACTACATGGCTATGTGTTTAGTCGTCCTAGTCAATTAGAGCCTGAACAGGGAATAGAAAGATTATCGATATGTAATTAGTTGTAAAGTCTAATGATTTCTATTACGGTCATTCCAATATTACCCAGATGCGCGGTGAGAAAGTATAGTTTCTGGAACAGCTGTCAGGAACGAGTCAGGACAGACTTTTGGCTATTTACTGGTTGTAGACTTGGTGGCACACCCTTTCATGTCTTTCAGTTGCTCAACGCAACGATCGTACACACCCCGTTCAAGCGGATACCTATAGGGAAATTTGTTGTCTCGAATTTAATGCCATCTTTATAGCTGTGCTCACTTCTAACGAAACATGGGAGGGATAAGACATTAAATTCAGTCAACAAATATCAGCAAAGAAAATACTAGCCATTATCATAGAAGTTTGCGCCTTATACGCGCCAAATCTATTTGCCAAGACTAAGATTCTTCTATGTTCGTCAAGTAGAACGTGTAGCTATTACGATCGTCAATCGTAATAGTGAAGAGAAATAATGTATGGATGTTCACATTGCACTGTCTATTATAACAGATCTTTTTTTCTGTTGATTTTCTATTTATCAGGAAACGAAACAACTTCATCATCCGATAACTGCTCAGTGCCTCGATGCTGACCCTGGAAATCGCGAAATCTTCATGAATCCATGCGATGCCACGTTGAAAACTCAGCAGTGGCTTTTCGATCACGTCAATACGACGGCAATAATGAATGATTAAAAATCGTAAGCCCCAGGAAATGCTCTGCATGGCAACGCTATTCATACTATCAACGATCAATTAAACAGTCGCCTTTTCTACTTTTAATTGTATATTTGAACAAACCTATGTCGCTATTGAATGAACCCTTGCCGGATTCTGCTATAGCAGAAATACGTTTGTGTAACTTTGTACCTGGTTTCTTTTGTATTTGATGTATGTTATTTGCTTTGTCATTATATTACGGAAATGAAGTAGTAAAAATAACGATAAATCAAGAAGGACGAGGTCCTCGGAGAAACCATTTTACAGTTCACAAGTTGTACAAAACAATTTGTGCACAGATCGTAGGCTATACGAATTACCTGGACGTTCTTGTTCGGTTACTGCTAGTTTTCTAAAAGATTTATGTGAAATTTCGTATTTGGACATTGTTGTATCCTCCGAGTTCATTGTTTAGTGAGATGGTGAATGGATTTGGGCAGAATTAATTACCGAATTTGTGAGCGTTGTCGATATCGGACGTGATATACTCAGGTACATCCTCGCTGTGCTATAGAAGAAAGTGCCTATTTCAACGGTATAACGACGAAATCAAGGTACCCCGAATGCTGCGGGAATGAACGAGCGATTAGTTTTTGCCGAATGCCAAACATCAGAGGGTTCTTCCCTTTGAAGATTTTGTATAGAAAAAATGTACGATCGTCAAACCGGATAGGCCTACGCAGGTGGCCATCGGTGTTTGAGATATTCTACAAATAAAAAGAATCGTAACCATCCTTCAAATGTGTGTAAGTTAAAAAATAAGTAACTGACGTGAAGACATGACACGTTAACCTGATAATTAACTGAAAGAGATGAGAAGGTGTTTTTAGGTTAAGGAAATTGTCCCTTTTTATGTCACGCGCATTTCAGACTGCTGCGGCTACACGTAATGACACGACTGTTTGACAACAAATGACAAGAGTATGACGGTAAAAGCAAAATAGATCTTCTGTGAAATGTCAAGTGAAGATGCTTTTTTAATAGTAAATCCTGTACACGTGTTGATCCGATGAGTTATTGCACAACGAGTATGATCCAGAATATATAGTGACATGTCTTTGAGAGGATGCCAGCACTTAATATTTTACTAATGGCAAATGTCTATTTTCTGGCATAACTTGAATGGTTCGTCACGATGGTATTGACTCTTGGAGCCATCTTATGCATGCAGAAAAAGAACAGTGACTTAATAGTCAGTATTAACTGTGATATGCGTCCACCGTTACGACGCCTCAAAGGAACTGTTGTATCATAACTCCAGTTAGCTATATACATTCGTGTTGAGGCAGTTTTTTTTTTTTAGATTGTGCAAGTTGTACTGGCAAACACCAGGCAAAAAATCGAAGGAACTAAGGCACGAAGCGAATTGTACATGTATGAAGAGGTCTTGGATATTCGGTAGTGTAAAATACTGTGCGGAGATAAAGGCGCCGTTAGCCATTTGTTTTTCTACTAAAGAAAACATGCTGAAATCCACTCTTGAAACCGTTGTAAAGAATCGACTCATGCCTACCAATAAAGTGATGTATACGGATATTTTTATCTAGCATTTACCTGGTTGTTTTCGTTGAATTTTTCTCTTCTCAGCCTTATTAAGAAATTCTACGAGTTCTGCGTGTGAAACCGCGTTAGGCACCTTTTAGCTGCATAGTTGATGACTTTTGAGATATACTAAAAAACGACACTTATATTCATTGTTTTAGATCAACTAGTCGTATGATCTCAAGGGTTGTCAAATGTGTTTTCCTTTAAGGCCCGGGATTATTACATAGAAACCCTTTCGATTCTACTCTTTTTTTTATTTGAACGGGGCGTATTATTACCTTTTAGCTTTGGGTAAAAAGAATAGGTCTTTGCTACCTTACTTTTTAAATTCCTTATGCTTTGCCTTTGCTTATGTTTTGCCTAGTGGAAAATTCATCTGATTCATTACGTTTGTAATCGGGGTTATACAATAACACTGTGACATTAAAAATATTTTTATTGAGATTCGACAAGCAGCAATATTGCTTTTTGATTTAACGTTTCTCTCTTTCTTCGTTAAGCGTACTCCGTCTTGTTACCAATATTGCTGTCCAATAAGTCCATATTATAAGGTTTTCATGAAAGCTCGAGGTCTGTGTTTGTTTATGAGTCCCTTAAATACCTCACAAACAAGCTCTTTTAATCGATTTAAGAGGACGAGCTTTGATTAGGTTCTGTACAATATTATACAGCAGCCAGGTTGCTAAGTTCCAATTAAATGTTTGAAGAACAGTATCATAAAGTAGCAGCGCCCTTCGCTTTGGTGTCTTGAAACCCTTTTTATTGTAACTAACATTGCAGTCTACGTAATCGGTCACTTTTGTTTATTCCGAAGAAGATGCCGCGTTGATTTGGTCGGCTGGCTACCTCTAAATTCTGTCACCGTATGGTCACTGAAGAACGTTACGGAGTCCTCGACGTTTTATTTCTTATAGTTCGATCTAGCAGACCTTTGTGAGTGGGAACTAGAAGCTTCTAAGTGCGAATTTTTTTTTTCGTTCGCATTTTTATCGATTTCACTCTTCTATATAAATCAGGTCACACAAACCTGTCACAGGCCAGCTACTACTATAAGCAAGTAGATTATAGAGTAGCTAAGATGAATAGCTAACAAAGGTTGTCATTCCGATTCCGAACTTCAATGAATTATATAGTTAGTCTAAACGTATGCGTGTATGAAACGCAGGACTTTACCTAAGGCTTTATGTGAACAGTATCTGAACACATGAGTCTGTATGTAACGAATGCTAATAGAGACACAAACAGTTATTGGACCTACTTCTTCCTATGGAGGAATTCTGAATTATGGAAATCCATAAAAATACATTTTCCATACAGCTTTATATGAATCCTTTCAGACAGCAGAACGATTACATTTTACATTGTTTGCTCCACAGAACGACTATATCGTATCACATTAAAGTAAATACGTTCATGTGGAACAGTAAAGCACGTTACACGGATCATTTTCCTTTCAGCCGGGGTCGACTATCAGCCTACAGAGTCTGGCTGTATAATGGAATTGAGCGAAAGAAGCTAAAGTGAACAGATCACTGGTGACGCTTCCATTGTGTTAGTTGAACTTGTTGGCCTAGATTCGGAATGTTGACATACAATCTGGCCATCATCGTGTGCACGGCTGGGGTTGACATTTCTTCCGTGGATGGTGGCATAGCGGGAGGCGAGTCGAGGCTACGCAGCCTGAGACAGCTTTGAGAAAAGCACTAGTAGCGATAACAGTGGAAAATGCGGAAAAAGGTCGATACAGCAGTTGAGACAGTTTCGTACTTGCTCTACGTACGTTTTTTCGGATTGCCACACACAGCCGGCTGAAGTTGTTTACCTAACTTGCTTTTGTTTCTGCTGCTGTTTAACGGAAACAGACAGTCTCGTGAAAAGGACGGTGTGCTGCTGCTATCGCCTTTCTATTTGCTTTACTAACCTGCCCCGCAGTAACCTTGCTCCGTTCTTAGCCGAAGTGTTAGCCATGCCCCCGACTTTAGCATGAGCGGGCAGTGCAGTCTGTGTTATGTCTTTACTTTTCACTCACTTTAGTTTTAGCGTTGTCTTACGCTATGAGTCTTTTTCTTTGTGTTGTCTGTGCATCTACCATTCCTCTTGATGGCAATCGGAGTAAGAGATGCGAACAGAGAGAAGTCTTGTATCGAAGGAAAGTAAGAAGAATGTAGGCGATGTGCAGCCGGCTTCCTGTCCCGCACTGTCTTTCCTGAGATGACAGAAGTTGAGCGGTAGAGCAACGGTGCAGGCGGAGGGTGACGGTCTTAGGACGTCAGAAAGGCACTTTCAGCCAGACAGGCACTCACTCTCAAGGAGGCCGAGTCGAAGTGAAGAGAAGATGGGGTAGAATTGGTGGAAACGCGGTTGGGCTTTAGTGGCGGCATCTGTGAGTGACCGTGTTCCTGTTTGTCACATTGGTCTTGGGGTTACATGGGCAAGGTTTGCAGGGTCGATGTACGGAGCAATGCAAGTTGGGAACAGAAAATGGGAAATAGGGTTGTCTCAGACGACCAGCCATTTCTCTAGCGTCGGATAAGAGTCCTCAGGCTAATATCACGGCTCACAGTGCCGTTGTCATCGTCGCTGTCGTCATACAACTTCATTACGTCAAGGTCACTCATCCAACTCCATTAGAGGCTGAAGTGGACTAGCAGCATTCTGCAGGAATAGTCAGAGGCTAACATCGTTCCCCTTTCTATTCTCTTTCGAATAAAGGGAGAATGCAGAACCCCACAAAGCTTCCTCAAGTGTCTCTCTACGCACTGCCAATATTACCGACCCTAACCATCTGAGACAATATATACGCAGCACCTTTCTTAGACACCCTGTGTTGGCGTACGCAGAATCTCCCGATCTGTTCAAGCTATACCAATCAGGCTGAGCGGCTAGACGGCAGGGCGGAGGCTATCCGAGCACACGAAGACATTGACGCGTTCTCGCTGGGAAATTTCAGGTAGGGCGGTAAGGATAATGTCATAGAAGAGGGCCAATCTCGCCTACAATGCCGAAGGAAAATGGCGGGGTAGGGAAAACTCGATGTGAGTCTATAGGTTCTATTAGCCGAAACGATACAGATCCATTATCAGCATCTTCGTGTAACGTCTGTCTGCACTGTCTGTATTCTATTCTGCTGAACGTATTTCACTTTCTTGTGCTGCAAAGAAACGTTATACGCCTATAAGCACGTTAGCGTGTCGAAGCAGCTCCACTGCGATGTAAAAGCAGGTGATGAAAAACCAGGACTATCCGTGAATGCATTGTGTGAGTGTGTGTATGTATAGCCTGTGCTCTATAAACGTGTGCGCTGAATAGATAATTATAGCGATTAGTGAAATCCTAACCATTGGAGAATAAAATATTGTTTCGTTAATTTTTGGCGTTTAATTACGAGGTTTAGAACTCGTGTGCTGCCTATGACGCAAACCTATCGAGGTCTATAGGACTCAATGCTAGTCAACTAAATCTGTTATCCTTCGTAGGAACATTCAGTTATGTTGATTTTTTCTTTTTGTAAATTTGGGCGCACGCATTCAGCTGGCCTATATCTCATTTGAAGAAAATGAAAAATTCTACTTAGAAAGAGAACAAATTAAAATTTCGCATCGTACTCCACATTTGAACAAGCTTTCATAGATCCTACAATATCACCATTTGTCTGTTTGCCCATTGTTCCCACTTGGACCTTGCGTATTGCATATGGTCTTCATGTCGCTGCTCTACGCCATGTATGCTGCATACTTTTGGTTCTTGATAAAAGTTAACATTTTTCTCTACGGCGCTTTAGCAATCTGCCAGGTGGCATACTGTGAGATGAAATATTCAATGAAGTTTAATGGAATCGTTTGAAAATAAGACATCTCCAATTGCGTACTTTATCTGATGTTTTCTGCTTTATGTTCAAGAGTCTATCACTTATGTAGCACCGTTTTGTGGGCTTTCAAGATACACATACTTTGGCATCATACGTGGAACAACCCATATGGCGCAACAGGATATCCAGCGTTGAAGCTTTTTCATGTCACATGATTTTATTTGCAAATTTATAGCGTTCCGTTAGCCAGATACATTGCCCAGCTACTTTAGTCTTTGTCTTTGTCTGTCGCAGCAGATGTTAGAGATCACCATATATTAATATACGTCTCATTCCTTCCGCTACGATTTGTTACGATTGGAATAAAACATAATTACGCGTTGTGGAGTGCACCCATCCAATTACGGTTTGGTTGGTACTGGCTACATAATGAAAGAAAAAAAGAAGCAAGACGTTGAGTGGAACATTAAACTGGAAAGGACGGTTATGTTACCACGGCTGAAATGGTTTCAAATCTGGGATCTAGCCATTCTAAATGGGAAAACGGCCACAGCAGCAGGCACTGCTCCCGGGAACCATCACGCAACCATAATAGATTCAAATGGAAAGATGTGCAAGAGCTCAAGAACGGGCCTTGAGAATAATCTATCATTAGGACAAAATGGTTGAGAGCAGAGGACTTGGTTTGAGGGGGTTACGAAGTAGCAATGAACGAGGTGATGGTGGCGATGGACATCAAGTATCCTTGTAACCAACTTGTCCTATGTGTATACCAGTCTAACCGGACGGTAGAAGACCGAAAACTTTTGAATCAGTTGCTTTGCATTGGTGGGCATCTGTCTACGCGTTAGAAAGCGGCCTATCAGCTGTTCAGGCGGTGATACTGCGTAAGTACATTTCATCTGTGTGCCTGTTGTATCAACAGGACCGTTAGGCCTGTCCAGTAGTGTTTTGGCTGTAACGACACTCAAAACGAGACGCCGATCATTCACGTGCCGTTTGCCGTTGATTGCATTGCATTAGTACGCGGAGGAAATGATATCGCCAGTAATCTGCAGATTTTAATGTGTTCTATTGAAAATGGATTATGACTTTTAGCACCTGCTACCGTGTCCGTCCGGTATTGCCTATCTAGAAGTTCTGAATGTATAGTTTGCGTAAAAAAATTAATAAAACTTGTACGCCACCACAAATGT